AACTTTTACTGTATAAAAATAGAGATCTTTAAATTTATGTAATAGAATTATTGTAGTAGAATCTTCGATTTATTTTACTTGCAATGCACTTTTGCTGAAAATATAAAACGTAAAATGTATACGTATTTTAATATTAATTTTATTTTGGGGAAAACGATACTTAACATAGATACTTTATTTGCAATGCTTTTTGCTGAAAATATAAAACGTAAAATGTATACGTATATTAATATTAATTTTATTTTGGGAAAAACGATAATTAACATAGATATTATATTTGGTGACTAATAAATATCTAATTGGAAATTGTTTGTTTGCACTTAATAATATTTAGTTAAGAATTGACCGGCATTAAATATTACATTTAAGCATATATTTAATTATTTTATATTAGAATTACTAACAATGTCCTTTCTTGATTTTGTGTTTTATGTAAAATTTAATCATATTTTCTCATTTAAGTTTTATCGCAGTAACGTTTTCTCTTGATTCTAAATGTTGCAAAAGTTCTCCGAGTCCTTTCTTGGCAGCAATTTCCTGTGATTCTCCACGTTCTACTCTTTCGCCTCTTCTCATGTAACGAAACGTTTTATTCCTCGCACGCCTGCTCTAGTAAACCTTTAACTAACATCCGGAATACCAACTGGTTCTTCTTGTTTGAATGTCAGTATGTTAGTAATGTTAGACTTGCTGATACGTGGAAATGTAGTTTCTCTTTTTTTCGAAAATTCTTCGACTAAAGGACTTAAATTATATTAGATCTGTAAAGAGTGCGTACAATTTATTATATTTTGTAATTTATATTATTAAAAACATCTTATTAATCTTTTAAAAATAAATTTATTCCATTATGCTTTTAAAAAGAAAACGGATTTGATTTCTTTCATACCCTTTAACAGAATTTTTATTTTTATTTGGCAAGGTAAAATTTCAATGCATGCTTCAATATATAATAAAAATGATACTTTATAAAATGATACTTGAAATAATATTACTTTCACTTGACCTAGTATATGCGAGTAAATTTTTTGTAAGAAATTGAACATTTATGGAAAAAGTAAAGTATGTCTTGTGGAAGATAAATGGTATATGTTGAATATTTTTTGTGAATCTCGATAACTCGAACCTCTATAACTTGAAAACCACTCGAATTTTTTCCTTTAAAAACCATTATAATCAGAAAATTATAAACTCTCGTATTACAAAGCTTTCGTAAGTTGAATTTTCACATCAATTCTGTTTTACTCAACTTTGATAAGTCGAAACTTCTATAACTCGAAGATTTTTAAAGCTCCTCCCTTGAGATTCGAATTATCGAGATTCGATTGTATTTTTATGAATTTATATTCAAGTACTCGGAAAAGTAGGTTATTGTATAGATTATTCCATATTTGGAAAACGATAAACTGTAATATTTTACTGCTTTGTACAAGCTTTCAAATATTTGTCCATTATTAACTCTTTAAAGCTGGAAGTTGGGCGCGTAATAGCGCAGAGTGTTTCACTTGTTTTACATTTTATGGCTCGAAAGGATAATCGCGTTCATTTCGAAATAATTGTAACAGAGATTTAATTGTAATAAAATGCCTTCGTATACTTACCAATTTAATTGAAAGCAATCATAACAAGTAGTTTCGATTAAGCTTATTGTGCTACAAAAGACGTCGTTTTACGTTTCGAAATACGTAAATGGCGGATTATAGGCAAAGTGTTTTACTTGATCGCGCGACAAAATTTCCTCTCGTCCTTATTTCATGGAAATTACCTTCGAGCGCCTGGTGATTTCGAAGCGTCTCGTTGACGACGTAAATACCGTAATGCAATTACACGACGATGTGGAACGAGAGCTACGAATGGATTTCATTTCACGCATTTTGAGAAACGGTGATGCGGTTGTCACTGGTTGCGCGGAATTTCCTGGACATTTGCATATGAGGCACCCAATTACTGATATGAGATTGCAAGAGGGTACTTACACGCGAGCTTTTAGAAAAACTATGATTTAAAAGAAATTATTTGTTTATGATCCTTTTTCTCATTTTTGCTCACCTATCTAAATAATGTGACTATCCTAATGCAATCGTTAAACATTTTCTTTTATAGACACGTTAAATTTCACGTATTCTTGAGATATTAAAATGCGAAAATACGGATTACAGCTGGCATTTCTTAACGCGTTTTTAGATTATATCTCGGCGAAACGTGAGAAAGAAATGTTTAGCGTATTCGACCGGAAGAAACGCGAAAAAGAAACGTTTGGAGTATTATGCCAAAACCCAATTCAGTCAGCTTCCGCGGAGTGCCCCGGGAATATGCGTATGCATCTTACGATAAAACGCCATTTCCAGGCATCGCAAGTGCACTCTGCCACTCTTCGTAGGCGCTAGAAAATAAGGAAAGTGCTTTATACGTCAAGATATAAACCTTGCACGCATTTGTGCGTTAACGTAAAAATGAAATGATATAACTGTGTTAATAGACATTTATCTGTTATATTAAGATGTCATTTACTGCATATATCCGTTTGAATAATCCATTAAAATTTCATGTAAAAGTTTACGATGACAAATTTTTATGTTTCAATTTCACATCGATGATCGAAAAATCGTAGCAGAGTGCACTTTGTGGCTAACTGTGATTCGAGAAGCTTATCATTGATCCCGGTTTATCCAGCTTAGAGGATGGAAATGGTCTTAGGTGAAGTCTGAGCAAAATCGTTATTGGGAACCGTTCTTTATTAACTGCTTTAATGGGCTATCTTTGGAGCCAAATATCCAAGCTTATATTCCAGCTTATGAATTATGTTGTAGACTTTTCCTCGAGGAGAAGTTCGTTTTGGAAAGTATTGAAAATCAAGCTGTCAATTTCTTCGCGTTTTGCCGAGATGTAGTCTGAACACGTTGAGAAATATATTTGCAATTCGTATTTTCGCGTTTACGACTGAATAAAGTTCATAGCAAGGTATTTGATGCATTTATTAAAGGAACAAGTTAGATATTTTGTTATATTGATTTGATTTAAAATTTAATAATCCGAGAGAAAGATGTCTCTCTAATAATAGATTTATATATGTATTGTAGGAGAAGACATCTGAACATTTGCGTTAACAGCTTATAAGTTACAAACGTCTCCTGAGCGAAAAAACATACTTGGCAAGAGCCGCTACCGCGTCTCCTGATACCTTATTACGATGATATGTTCAATTTAGTGGAATTATGATAAAATCTTTCCAACCCTTTTCGTTATTCTTTTTCAAAACCTTGAACGACTCCAACCTAACTCACTCCCAATGGAGCATTTTATTCTCTTCACCCATTTTCAACACCCCACTAACCTTGAATCACCGATAGCACCTTAACCATCAGTGATTTTGAGAAAGTAAACGCAGACACATATTTCAAAGTTCTTTGATGATATTAAGTTAACTGTACTGCTTTTTTTTATTTTCCCAATAAAAGTTTTTTGAAAACTTATCTATTTATAAAAATAATTATCGAAGAACTTAAAATGTAATAAAATATTATATAAAAATATTTATAATGATTTGTTAATAATTAATTCTTTTGAGAGAGAGAGAGAGAGAGAGAGAGAGAGAGAGAGAGAGAGAGAGAGAGAGAGAGATTTATATTTCAGTAATAGTATTATATTTCATTATATATATTTCAGTAATATACAATGTATTTTCTCGCCGAGTATAATATTTATATATGTATATAAATGTATATATAGTTTATTGGGAAAATGCGAAGAGTAAATGGAATTAGAGAAGAATTGCGCAGGTTGATTTGAAAAATAGATCGAGAATAAAATTGAAGTAGAGAAAACTGTGGGTCGAGAGCTAACAGAGATAAGTTAGATGAAAGCTCACACAAAGGTAATGGTATCTAGAGTAACTAAAAGTGGAGGTCGGAGAATTAGTTTACGGGTTGATCATGAGTGATTGGATGTGCATTTCTTACGATCTCGGTTTTTTTCATTTTACAGATCGATTAATTTAAGAATTAATTTACTGAATAAAATTGCAATTAATGTTATCTTGATACAACTACATTATTAAAAATTATTAAATTATAAAAGATATATAATTAGATTGATTTTTATAGCATAAAAGTCAAGGTCACAAGAAAAATGCAATAAAATAAAATAAGATTGATCATAAATATATTATAGTCTTGTTCTATATCTATTAATGAGAAATTAATTTTTGGAAAAATGAAATTATATACAAGAATTATATTTTATTAATGAATTTTAATTATTCGAAATAATTATATTTGCGGTTTACTTCTTTAAAAGTTAAAAAATAGTCTCTGAAGATTCGAAAACTTGAAGTTAACATTGTCGCACCATCTGTGCCAAAAATTTGCGCGCTACTTTAAGTAACTACTGTTCGGGAACTATCGTTTAAATTACGGTTATATTGCATTTTGAAACGAAACCGCGCCATTCGATATTTCGAGCGTTCCGAACTGGAAAATTTTTGCAACATGATTCAAATTGCAGATCGATGCTGTAGCTGTTTCGTAGCAAGTAGTAGTAGTAGTAGTAGTAGTAGGTAGTAGTACGTAGACGCGCACCCTGCGTCGACTATTACGCGGTGCCATGAGACTCCGTGACTCAACAACCGCTTCGCGGTAAACTGAGCAGGGGATTAAATTCGGAAAAAAGGAACAGGTTGTTGGCGAGGGTAGACATGACAGGTGAAAACGTGAAGTAGATTCGAGGCTGAACGCCAAGAGGGAGAACACAATTTGAGGTGTCGAGTGCCAAAGGACCGACCGGAGGTGCCACGCTTCGCAGACGTCCCTAGTGCGCAAGGGCGTTGGCGCTGACGACGGACGGTACTGGAAGTGTCGGGAGTACCGAGTGTGGGGTCTGGGAGCTTTGGAGCTTCATGGCGGGGGTGAAAGCATGAGGGGGATGAACCGAGTAGGGGATGGTGTTGAGGAAGCCGTGGGGTGGGACAACCGGAGACGACTGTGCTCCCAGTCGCTCAGTCCGCGCCCCGACACGCAATCACACGCACACTTCTTGTTCAAAAGACGACGGAGTTTCCGTCGCTTCGCGCTCGGGTATTTTCAAATTGATTCGTAATTCCCGCTACCGCATCTGAGATCAGTTTCGGGAACTCTTCGTTATCAATTTCCTCGTCGATCCTCGACGATACTCCACGTTTTCCGTCGGTGAGTATGATGGCTGAGATAAATAGTGCCCGATCTGAATCATACAGAGAAAGTGAAATTCTTGCGATGCGTTCTGTGCGACAGCTGTTACGTGTAGAAGTTTAGGAAAAACTTTCCAACTTTCCTAGTTTTTCTTTATTACACCTCTCAGATGGTCGCGATTTATCTTTAATGTGACAGTCTAGAAATGTTGCGTCACATTAGTGGGGAATTCATCACACAACACAATAAAGCACATGTAATCCGTTCCTCTTTCATCTTCGTCAAAATCTTGTGTTGTTCCGAGAATTACCCTCGTAATTGCAATTGCCACACGTCGTCTCTCCGGCTTTCATTCTGCTAATGGAAAAGCCGGCGAGTTTGTTTTATTCTTGAAAGAAAGAAATAAGACTTCACGTTATTATCCGCGCTAGTGAAACTCTTCCGATTTTATGTCTAACAAGATTTTAATAAAAATTGCAAATTAAAATTGAAATTTAATGCAGATTCTTCGCGCAGCAATACAATATTTATAAAGTATAAAACTACATATAATAAAAAGTATACACCTTAATGCGTAAAAATTAATTTAGTCATATCTCTTACATGAATTTATAATGCTTTATTGTAACTTTTAAAATATGTAACTACTTATTATTTTTTTATAAAAATTTAAAATAATTTTCAGGAAGCTCCATATTTTTAAAGAAGCACGATTTTTGTAGTATTAATTTCTCTTTTATATGTTAAATATTGATATTATAAATTATATGGACATTTGACTCTTTTGTGTTTCTCATTGAAGATATACAAAAAATACAATATAAAAATACTACTTATTATAATGCATAGCGTCCATGACTTAATGCGCGCATCTATGTCACGCGTATCGTTCGTACCGTACATGTTGCTAAAATCTTGAGAGGAAAGCTTAATCTAAGAAGGATTAATCTGCTTTCAATTTAGTAGACCTTTGCTGAAGATTGGAGTTGAGAAGTTCGTGATAATACGCATCTTTTATTAAACATTTACAATATGAAGATAGGACAGAAGATAATAATTCAATATATGTGCATTAAAGGTGTTTTATTATGTTTTGCTGTAAACATTCGAAGTTTTCATGTAAAAATTAAACTTCTTAATGAATTTAGTTTTGTATTAAGAAAATAAAAATTGTATTCGGATAATAAATCTTAACACGAAAAAAAAGAAATCATTTATTGACATACAATAAAAATTATGAAAAATCTATAATAGATATATATTTTCTTCAAATTAGAAAAAAAAGAATAATTTGTTTGATATACTTTATGGTAGGATAATATACGCGCGTTGATAAAGAAACGTTAATGAGATGAAATGTTTTAATTTCTCTGTTTATAATTAAATAGAAACAATTATCAGATTGTCTTGAAAATCATTTAATATTGGTTTTCTTTCCAATACGTATGGATTTATTATAAAGAATGAATTCTAATAAATTAACAATACGTGCCAGCATTTATTGATGTGAATGGGATTTTCATTAACTTTCACATAAAATATTAATCAGGTATCTTCAATATTCCTGCCAATGCTTTCATCAATGCATCTGATCATAACTTCATAATTTGCGTACATCTCTGTCGCATCGAATTTTCGAATATATCATATTTGCACACCAAACGTGCACAAAATATGCAAAAATACATCAGTATTGAAAAGGCAAGAGAGATAGAATAATCAAATACAGTTGATATTGATATGAAAGTTGATAATCACAATCATAATTAAATTTGTTCTTGATTTAAATATAATACTAAAGTTTTAGTAACTTTTTAGCTGTGTGCAGGGAAAATTTTCTATTCGGAGAATTTTATTGCTACAATTGAAATTTTTTACATTTGCGATTCCATATACAAGGTAATAGTACAATATTTATGATTATTTCACTTATTAGTGTACTCTCATGATCGTTCAAAGTTTGAGAATATTATTAATAAGCTAGTTTGCCCACATATTAGCATGGAAGGTCTCTGCCGCTTTATGGCTTCACACAGACGTATTTGCTGCAGAAAATCCATTTGCTAATTGGAGAGTTCTGCCATTTACGAAATCAAATATGAATGGCGAGTAAGATTGGTTTACAAATTAGCATTTCGCCGCTAAAGCACATTAATGAATTACTATTATGCATCATCAATCAGATCCATTGACATACATGTTGTATAATTACCGTATTTCGATTTATATGCAGGATGCCCTAGACCTATCAATCCACTTTCTATGGGTACATATATGTATATATATATTAATATATATATATATATATCACGCGTACGGAATTTCTACTTTATACAAAAAGATCAATACATAGGAAAACTTTTTTCGTAATAACGCTCTATCTGCATTACTAAAAGTTAAAATTTTCTTTTAAACTAACGCAATTTTTTTTAATAATGTCGTAAAAATTAATTTTACATTCTTATCGTGTCTTTTACATCCTTGTCTGTCAATCGATAGTTTAAAAAATATGCAAATACCTATAATGGTTTTCTTATACTTTTAAATATCTTTACTAAAGTCTCTGCTATTTTACTTGCGTTCTTAAAATGCAAACGTCCAGTTTTGACTCATTTTTACGAGCTGGTCGTAATTTTATGGACGGTTGGCAAGCACGATCCCAAGAGTAAGCCAGAACTTTCTTGAAGCTGCTTTGGACCGCTCATCTCCCTGCTGTCCAAACTTGATTCATCTAACTTCGCTCGATGAAGTTTGCCATCGGGAAAGACATGAATTCCGCTATCGATGCAAAAATTTGAGGAAATCATCTAGCACGTTCGCAGTTTGTTATTTCGATCCAAAGTTTCCGATAGGACGCGACAGCTGTTTCAAAAACGTGACGTCAAGCTTGTTGATTAAAAGAAGGGAGAAACGGGGATTATCTGGTCAAAAGCCATGAGCATCACAAAGCAGATCGCGGAGAGTGAATCGATGAGTTTATTATTGAAAAAGTTATAATTCACCCACGCGCCGCGTCGACAAAGCTAATTCATACTTTCTCCCCTACTTCGATCGAATATTTTAATTGTCGGCAGCCCTTCTTGTTCTCCGCCTCATTGTGCTTCCCTTTGCGCTAGTGAACTGGCTTAATTGAACTCTCTACTCGTTCTCTGTTCGCGCAGAAAAATCCACAAAGAGAGTAGTCGACCTTACAAAAGTTCGATGACTTCGAAGATTTTATCGTTTGCGTCGTGACTTTAATTGCCGTAGGAAACCGTACAAGAGACTCTTATTGATGAGTATAATGTTATTCTATACATACATATATATTACTGATATATACATACCCGATCCACAAGATAGAAATTGTTTATTGCTGCATAATTAATCGGTTTGGACGTTTACGATGATCGGTTTGGGCGTTTGAACTGATAAGAGGAAACAGAACCAGAATTATCGCGCTTAAGGAGATGGACGTACTTAGCCTATACTTATGATCGGATCGATGAGAAAAACGAATCGAATCGGGGCCAGGTTCTGAAAGCGGTACCGCAAATTTAATTTTTAATAGCGAGTCTGGATTTATCCAATCTCTTCTATATCCTTTGCTCGTCTCCTGCTTTCTATATACCACTATTACTTGAACGATTCCCTACAAAAAAAGATTATTATCGTATGACCCAGATCGCTTTAGTATGCAGGTGACATTGCTTGGGTAAAGAGAAACTCAATTTCTGAAGAATACGTTCGGGCATGATGTTAATCTGTAAATCATTTCCCGAATAAATAAGGCCATCTCTGATGCTTCATGCATATCTCGATTAACACCCGATATTTTTAAACTGTAAAATATAATATTAAAATATTTAAACTTTAAAGAGTTATAAAAAAATATTGCAAGATAATTACGGATACATTAATGATATTTTATCTGTAATATAATATTTGAATTAAAAATATAATCTAGTGTATTATAACATGGGGTCTAAAAAAATAGAATAAGAATGTGATTTGATTTATTAATTAGTTTTTAAATTAAAATTTCTAAGGCTTTATCTCCAGTATCTAACACGCTTAGCCAGAGTTATTGATAATAACTGATCCGCTTTTCAAGTTTCTCCTGGGTTATCAATTTGGATTAAGTAATCTAGAGTAATAATTTAACGTTATCGAAGGATTGGAAATTAGCCGAGGGAAATGAGCCACTCTGCCTTATATGAGATTTACAGAATTAATAAACGATGGATTAAGAATTACGGTAAATGTAAAAGAATATGTAATATTTAATCGAAAATCTTGTGCAGTTTTTTAACTATACTTTTTTTAATTATCATTTTTATTATTTTTTTACATAATTGATTTTTGAGCTTTTAATTATTTATTAAATCTTTTTTAGGCAAAGAGAGAGAGAGAGAGAGAGAGAGAGAGAGAGAGAGAGAGTTGAATTTGTCTTATTTTTAAATTGAATCGATTTGCACATATAAAGCATTTTCCATTATCGTTCTCGTGAACATGTGTACAACATTGATCAAATTTTGCTCTATATTTGGAAAGCTGACAGGTTTAAATTGCACGAATCGTATTTACGTATTTCACGTGCACGTGTATTAAATGTTAAAAGATCTTACATCAAGTTTGTTTAAAAATAGTGTAGTATTTAATTCCTAACAATTGTGTGTGTGTGTGTGTGTGTGTGTGTGTATTAAATACTACAATTTTATTTTAGATTATAGCAGTTAATAGAAAGATTGACAACAATTTTATTTAAAAAAAGATAAATGTACTCTTATTCTTAAGAATATTTATTTTTCGAAATTTAATACAGCATTTTCACAGAATGTAATTGATTTAAAATTAGTAAATGAATGTAAAAATTATTATGATTATATAGAATGTAGCAATATATTTTACGTGAAAATATAATTTATTTTATTCTATGATAGCTATAAATAAAGTAATTAATTAATTAATTAAATTTTGTAGAAAATACACTTAATTTTAAATTTAGTAAAATTGCAAACGATTGTAAATATACATTT